AGCGCCTGGGCACAGGACACACTGCATGGGCACTTGGTGGAGTCTCACCGTCCGTTATGGGCACAAGTCAGTTCAGCACCTACGCTGACCTGAATTCCTTGGTTAAAAGTTTAATCTCTGCTCTGTGCTCACCATGCAGGCCCACCTCCAGCCTCTGGGGACGGGAGGTGTTGTGGGGTCCAGGTGAATAACCCGGGAGGAGTCTGATGAGTTGTGCACAATATTTCATTAAGTCCAGCCTGTGAGGAGAGGGGATTTTGCCTGAGAGGTGGACATGGAGGTCTCCCAAGCAGCCTGGTGCTTGCTGGCACCTGCTGCCCACCCGCCGGGCCGCCTGTGTCTGTCCTTAGCCCGGCTACACGGTGGGTGGTGGGGGTGGAGGATGAGCTGTCTTTAGGGGAGGGTGGCAGCGCGCTTGGGCAGGGCAGGGCCAGGAGCTGGGTATAAATAGCCCCTGCCCAGCTGGGAAGGCCTGGCAGTGCCCCCTGCCCTCCCCCTCACCAGCTGCCAGCGCCAGGAGGGCCCCTAGCTCCCTTGGGAGCCTTGCCATTGTCTCAGGTCCTGACTGTAGGAACTTCCTCAGCGGATCCGAGGAGTCTTGTTCTGTGTGGAGGTGGAACCTCCGGATGCCTGGAGGCCTGGGGAGTGGGGGTGAGGCTGCAAGATGGGGGTGAGCAGACTGGCCTGGGGAAGGGCTTGCTCCTTCATCCCCCCTCCCCTTGAGAATCAGCATGTTCCTACCATGTGTCTGGCTATTTGGTAGACCAAACGTGCTCACGTCTGTGTCTGTGTGCACGTGCGTGTGTGTGTGCGTGTGCATGTGTGTGTGTGTGTGTGTGTGTGTGTGTGTGTGTGTGTGTGTGTTATGGAGGAGATGTTGAGGGAGAATGGAAACACAGCCTCCAGCCTCAAGAAACTTACACTAGCGCAGCCAGAGGGAATTGGAAACAAATCAGCACTTTGAGATAAGAAGGTTGGAAAAAGGTAGAGGCAAAATCCAGAGAGAGGAGAGGCTACTTTTGTGTGGAGCCCAGGAAAGTCTTTGGAATGGAGGCGACCCCGGACTGGGAGGTTGAAGGATGGGTAAGATGCTTGCTGGGCTCGGGCCGTGGGCAGGCGCTCCAGGTGGAGGGCTCAGGGTGTGCAAAGGCAGGCGGGCATGAAACAGCCGGGCTGCCAGCCACTCACAACGGCCGGGACAAATCGGATCAAAGCCACTCACACTCACTTTGGTGCAAAGAATTGACCTCCCCCACGCGATCGTGCCCTTCAATAACGGGACAAGGAGCTATGAGTTCAATTAGCCTGAATCTGTGGTGGTGGAATCGCAGACAGGAGTCCCGTGTGGGCAGCTGGCTGAGTCAGGGGTGGCAGGGCACGTCTGGGAGAGGGCAGCCATCCTGCGGAAATCAATCCCTCGGCCACAGCCTCGTTAGCCCAGCACCAGCCCGTGGAGCTAACCCTGGCTAATTACTGGCAGGATGTCCAGATCGGAGCTGACACCTTGAATGGAGCTTAGTGGGAACATCGTTATGCCCTCCCTTGCCCTCTGGGTCACCTTTACCGGGCAGCCAGATCGCACGCCTGCTTAGCCACCCCAGTGAGAACTGAACTGCCGGGCAAGGGGCCAGCTTTGCTCTGTTCCAAGCATCCTTCCAAGAGATGGATGGGAAGGGGCCCTGGCAATGCGATGTGTTCTCTGAAGTCAGGGGTGGGAGGGCAGGAGGAATGAAGTCCATGACCGGCCGGGGACAGACCAAGTGCTGGGGACAGCCCCCAAACACATGGTGACCACAACGAACACCATTTACTGAGCGCTCTCTACGTGCCCAGTGTTTCATACGGCCGATGCTCCCCACTATGTCTACTTTACAAATGAAGGCACGGAGGCACGGAGAGGTCAAGTAAATCGGTAGAGATCAACAGCTAGGAAATGGCAGAGCTGGATTCGAACCAAGGCAGCCTGGCTCCCAGCGGCACAATCGGTTGGATGGGGCAGCACGAAGGAGACGGGGTTTGGTGGGGCGGGGGAAATGAACTCATCGTCTCTGAGACGGGGCGTTATTCTCAGAGGACATTGCACTGGGAGTCAGACAAACCCAGGGTCTGAATTCTGGCAACTTCCTTCTGTAAGTCACCCGACTTCTCTGAGCCTCAGTTTCCTCATCTGTAAAATGGGATGAGAGCACCACCTCACAGAACTATTGTGAGGATTAAACGAGAGAAGTGCCTGGCATGTAAGTGCTCAATAAGTGGTTGCCATTATTATCGCTAGTGTTGGATATGAAAATCCGCTTGGGCTGTAGGAGGGACTCAGCCAGCAAGGGCTTGGTGACTCTTGGGGGAGTGAAAGGGACCATAGCATCTCCGAGCGATGCCAGTCCCAGTGCCCAGTGCTGGGGGTTCTGCTGGGCTGGGCAGGCTGCCTAGGACCCTGTGGGAGTGAAACCAGGAAGCAGGGAGCCCCTTGGAGGGTTGGGGTGAGGACCAGCTTCACCAACTGGAAATGAAGCGCCAGCAGGGGCTTCCCCACCCCTCAGCTCCGCTTCTGTGCAGTGGTAGCCAGCTAACCAGGCTCCATACATCTGGTTGTATGGCCTGGGGCAAGTTACTTCTCTCTGGGGCCTCTGCTTTCTCATCTGTATAATGGGGTTCACCCTCTCCTAGGGCTTCTCTCATAGATTCTGATTCTGATCCAGGCTCAGCCTCCCACTTGGTTTGAGGGTACCCAGGCCTGCAGAGGTGCCGACAGGTGCAAGGCAAAGGCTGGGAGGAGGAGGAGGAAGAAAAGTAATGGGGGGAGGAGGAGGAAGGATCCCTGAGTGCCCCTCGGGCCCCGCTTTCATCTCTCTGGGTAAAGGCAGGCTGGAGCCTTGGGAACCCGGCGTGGCTGGTGAGCAGACCAATAAATGGGGAGTGCCGCTGGGCAACTCTCCTGGTGCCAGAGGTGATGTGGGACAGGCCGGCCCAGGTTGGAGTGTGCAGAGGGGACGGGAGGCCAGGCTCATGGAGAGCGTGGGCACTGCAGGGCCAGTCCAGCAGTCCACACTCCAGGGACAGGCAGGGACCGAGGCACCTGCGGGGGGAGACCGGGGAGTGCTCTGGCCAAAGAGGAGGGACATCGAGGCTGGGAACTGGGTGCCAGGTCTCCCTGTGCTGCTCTGAGATAGTCAGGGACTGGGCCAGGCCATGGGGAAGGGCGGGCAATCGCCACCACACTCATGACCAAACACAGCTGTGGCCGTGGGTGGCAGCGCCCTCTGTCCTGCCTCAGCCTCCCTCTCCAGCTGTCCCCATACAGGACTTTGGGTCCTAAGGGGGAGTGGGAAAGGCCTGGGCTTCTTCCCAGGGGGTCTTGCTCCTGAGCCTCCCTCAGGATGTCGCTCTGCTGAGCCACCTGCGCTGAACCCTGGCTCAGTTACCCTCCCCAGTGATTGCAGGGCTGCTGGGCCAGGGCTGGACGCGCTGGTTAAATGCACACGGAGAGGCAGCCTGAGCTGGGAGGGAGGCTCGACTCTCACACTCTGCAGCTTACTTAGCTCCCTGGCCTCAAGTTTCCTCATCTATGAAATGGGACAATGACAATGTGAGGATTACATAATGGGAACAGTCAGAACCAGCCCGGCACATAATAAGCAGCAGGGATTCGATCACCGCTGTTAGCACGCTAACCTGCTTATAACTATAAACAAGGCAGGGCAGGAGAGGACAACCTGCAGGGCCCTGTCCGGTGCTGTGGGCATGTGCCCATCAGAGGCCTCTGGGCTGACCCGCTCCATCCCACCCAGGCGTGGGTGGGCTCAGTGTTGAGGCCCAGGGTGCACTGGGGCAGGCCTGCAGCCACCCCACCCGTGGGGACCGAGGCAGGCATTGCCCAGAAGGAAGGGTGGCACAACTGGATTGTCCCATGGGCACTGGAGTCGGAAGGCATGGGGTCCAGCGAGCAACTCCTTAGCAGTTGTGTGGCCCGGGCTCGGTTCTCAACCTGCAAGGCTGAGCCATCTGACACGGGGCTGCTATGACCGCCCCTCCTCTGTCAGAGGGTAATTATCAGGGTTCAGTCGGGCAGAGCCAAGGAAAAGACTCGGCCCAGTGCCCCGCACGGAGGAATTTAGGAATAGCCATTCTCTGTGGTCAGTCAGCCCTGTAGGCCACCCTCCCTTCTCTTTAAAAGAGCTTGATGTTCAAGATCTAGAAATGTCTCATAAATGTTACCAACCGAACTCCAGACCTGGTTCCCCAGTCCCTCTCCCTGAATTAATTAAAAAACGGCAAAGTGGGGGCCGCCTCCTCCCTCTGAAAACGGAGCCCAGAGCCAGCCTAAGGAGGACGGGCACCACGCCCCTCCATGGTGCCCATCACGAGCCCATGGTAAGAGCTCTTAAATGGCCGGCGCTTGGTTCATTTTTTGTGGTATTTCCCGATCTGCCCGGGGTCTCCTGCACCCTCTTCCCAAGGCATCCACCATCCCTTTGTGTGTCAACTCCCTGTGGGGACGGAGGCTTCCCTGCTTTTTCTGAGCTGGGGCTGGGGGTCCTCCTTCTATTAGGTTTGGTTCCTTCCCATGGGTCATCGACAGTCTCATGTGGCCCCCAAAACCTAGACTCCCTGGGAGGTGGCCCAGACCAATCCTTTCAATGCCCCTCAGGGAAACGAGTCCGGAGCCTGGGAGGGCCTTACCTGGGCCCCAATACCATCCTCCCAGTCCCTGGCTCATTCATGGAATCGCAGTGGTCCCCAAGGGTGCCCACTGGAGGTTTCTGCTGGCCCCCCCGGCCCCTGCACGTTGGAGACGTCCACGCCAGAGGGCTGACCTGGCCTGGATCAGAGCCCTGCCACCGAGGGCAGCATTCGGGCGCCGGGTTTCTCAGGGCCTGGGCTCGGGCTCACGGGCCCTGTGCTGCTCTACCTACCCTGGAGGGCTACTGAGGAAGAAATGATGCCCGTGATGGGCTCTGTGCTTTGTGCCGGCAGTGCCACTGTCCTCCGTGTGCCCACAGGTCCCTGGCCCTGGGCCAGCAGTACACGTCCCTGGGCTCCCAGCCTCTGCTCTGCGGCTCCATCCCAGGCCTGGTCCCCAAGCAACTGCGCTTCTGTCGCAATTACATCGAGATCATGCCCAGCGTGGCGGAGGGCGTGAAGCTGGGCATCCAGGAGTGCCAGCACCAGTTCCGGGGCCGCCGCTGGAACTGCACCACCATAGACGACAGCCTGGCCATCTTTGGGCCCGTCCTTGACAAAGGTATTGTCTCTGGGCCCACTAGGAGGTGGGTGGGGGGTGGGGTGGGGGACACCATCAGGATGAAGTGACTCTTCCATCTCAGGGTGACTTAGCCCTGAGCTCAGGGTCCCCAGGGGAGAGTGATAAAGCTGGTCACGACCTGGGGCCTCCACAGAAAATGGGTCAAGACCTTCTCTGGATTGACCCAAGTGGTCACCATGGCGGCCACATCTTCCCAGGTGCTGCTGGGGGCTGGGCAGCCTTGAGATGCTCTAGGGTCCCGCCTTCCTTCCCCCTCGGCCTCCACTGCGGGCTTAGCTTTGATGTGGACATTTGTGACATTTCCCCAAGGCTGTGTTAAGTGCTATGCAAATGTAGCTTTGGGGTGGGATAGGGCCAGGGCATTGTCACCCCTATACCCCTCCCATTTAGAAAATTCCAGAGCTGAGAAAGCTGCCTGGTACCGGTGGCACTGCATAGCTCCCGCGTGCTTCCGTGAGAACCTTCTGCTGGACCCGCCCCTGCAAGCTGGACATGCCCTTGGACTGTGGAGGGGCCCGAGCCAGTGCTGGCCTCTGGGCGACTGCCCAGCCCCCTTGCAACCTGGGAGTCTAACTGGCTGCACTTCAACTGGCCTTAGAACAGGAAGGCACTGATGGGAGGGATCAGGGGACAACTGCCCCCCTAGAAGAAGGGGACTTCGGGCCGGGTGAGTTCTGGCCTGAAGGTGGGCGGCTCTCTGAGAAACTGCAGATCTGGGGATTTAATGCTCCCGGCTGGCCTTGGGGGCCACCACCCCTTTCACAGCAACCTGAATCCTCCCGCCACCAACAAGCCTTTGCCACCCTAACGTGAGCCCGGCCCTCCCTCCTTTTAGGGGAGCTGAATTTACAGCCAGAAAGAAAAGGAATCTAAAAAAGAAAGAAAGAAAAGAGAAAAGAGAAAAGGAATCTGAAAGCCTGGAGGGTCTTGGGGGGGGGGGGGGTTGGCAGGGAATTGCGGGGGCGCTGACCACCCCACCCCATTTCAGAGTGCGGTCCCCCTTAACCTGTGCCTCGGGTTCGCAGAGTCAGTCCGATCCACAGGCTATTGTCATGGGACCGCAGGGCAATTAGCGAATCAATGGATGATGATGCTGTTTACGCTTCTGTTACCAAAGCTAATTATTGCTTGTTTACACACAAGGTTTGGCCTCTAATTGGGGCCCAGTGGCGGCGGTTTTCATTTCAAACCTGATCGCGCTGGCGTGTCAGTCTGTCCGCCTTCCGGTGCCCCACCTCGGGCCAGGCAGCGCCGGATCACACGGCCCGGCGTCTA